TCCCCTTTTATTAGATATATTAGGTTGCCAGTTTTTCACTGCTATAATTTTGCCACTAATTTTGCCATTAAGCTGCTATAACGAGCTTCATTATAAATTGTTTGGATTTCTGATTAATTCTTTAAAACAGTATTTTAGAATAGAAATTACTGGGTCAAAGGTCATAAAGGTTTATTATTTTTTCCTATTTACTTGTTTATTTCTTTTAAAATAGGTAATAGAAGAAGTACAGGGAAATAATCAAACAGAAGAAAGTTTATGCAGTAAAAAAGTCTGCCTCTTAAAAAAAAAAAAAAGAAAAAGTCTGCCTCTTATCCTAGGCTCCCACTCCCTAGGAAAAAAAACCCTTCAATAAAAGATACTGTTTGGATACATATGTTTCCACCAGAGGGGGAAGCCTGGGGAGTGATGCTTGTTGCTGCTGTGCCTGTATGTATATGAATTACCTCTGGAAGAATATTATGTGTCATGTACATGGGAGCATACTGTACAAGCTATTCTACACTTGTGTTTTTTACTCATTCACTTACCTTTTCACCTCACCATGTTATTTTCTTGAAAAGCTGTACCATTTACACGTCCATATATTATCCTTTAGGCGCCAAATGCTTTAATGTTTTTAGAGTCTTTGGTACATTTTTTGGTGAAATTTAAAAATATTGTTTATGACTGGGAGGTTGAATATTTTTCCTTAGGATTATTTACTGGCCATAGGTAGCCGTTCTTCTTACTTGACGTTTAATGTCCATCCTTTCTCATTATTTAAAAATTAAGGTCTTCTTATTCTGGCAGGACATATTATATGAGCTGTTTGTATATTAAGCATATTAGCCTTTTTTTGTCCTATTGATCGTATATCCTATTTTCTCAGTTCATTATTGCTTTTTAATTTTATTTGGGGTTTTTCGGTGGGGGGGTAGTCAGAGGTTTAACATCTTTCTGTGTTATTTTCATTTTTATATATCTTTAATTCCCTTCTAATTATACATTTTATAATTAACAAAAAAAATCCACTTCTGTTAGAATCATGTGCAAAATGAAGTGAGTGGGATTTCCCCCTTTCCTTTTGTAAATAGGTTAAAAGGTTAAACTGTAGACTGGTCAACATCCAAATTTATTAGAGATTTTGAATCCATGAAGTCTAGTTGAAATATCGATAGATTTGACCCTATCAGAATTGGAGATTGATAGAATTTGAATTGTGAAGTCTTATCAGTGGTGGTTGACTTTTCCGTTCTGCCTTCGATGGCACCCATGAGTGTATATGTGTGTAACTGAGGGACAGTGAGTTGAGTGTGCATTACATGTGTAGGTGATATGTAATTACTGTGTTGAGGGCAGTGGGAGGTGGGCTCAGGCTTTGGCTATTCTCAGTTCTCTTCCCATTTTAACCTCTACCTTTGCTCTTACTTTTAAAGCTTAAGAGCCTGCAGTAACCAGAGAGTACAGAAGGTCTTGAGCTGTTTCAGATACATTTTGCATTCTGGCTTTGTATTCCTCTCTAGAATTCCTGGTCATGATTTTGTTAACTCATTCATTGGTATCTATTTGAAATTTAGAATGAAATGAAGATAATTTAAAGGCATATGATCCATGAATCACTGATAGACTTTTTCATTAATGTTTAAAAAAAAATGTCTGTGTCTACTTTCTGCAAACTCTTACTGCATGATTATTAATTTTTTTTCTGTGTACTTGGATCACATTATAAGCCACTAGATTAAATAGCCACTCTGTACTTTATCAAAAGTAGTTAACTTTCTTAAAGAGCCTAAAAAGGAAAGTGAAAATGTTAATATGAGAGTGTACACATTTTAAATATTTATATATTCAATATTTATTTTTAAATTTTCACTGTCCAGTAGAAATTGAATCCGAATAAAATGTTTGATGATCTCCTGTCACTAGGTAAGGGACCATGTTATGATTCATCTGCACGGATGGACAAGTGTCAGTCCTCACTCCCCTGGAATCATTTGTATTCATACACAGATAATTTACTGCAGGGCTTTTCCCCCAGAACCTTCTGGAGGTTCTTATTTCTGGTGGCCCTAATGCCTCTATTGTAGGCAGCTAATGGGAAATACACAGTATCTGTATCTGAAGGTTGAACAAATACTACTATTGCTGTGGCTCCTACTGGTTCTTCAGGAGCAGGAGGGAGGTTAGAAAGGAATGGCAAATGTGAGAGAGGCTGTGGTGTTGGAATCCAGTATGTGACTTGGTAATATAATGTGTAACAGAATTAGCTGAAACTGTTGCAGTCATTGTTACTATTTACTGTGCGTTCTGATCCTTTCAACAATACTACAAGGAAAGTATCCTTTCCATTTTACAAATGAGGAAACTGAGACTCAGAAATTATGTTTCATTGAAAGTGAGCACAGGTACTGTAAATAGAGGGAGAAGGTGAATTTAACTCTGGACATGGTCAAGTTAAGAGAGCTATCTTGCTAGAAATTTCAAACAGTAATTTGGAGAAGCAGGTTTGGAGCTTGGTAGAGAGGATAGGGCTAAAGACATAGGTTTGGAAAATCCTATGCACAGAGGTAGTAGTTAAAATGTTGGAGATTTGCTAGTGATGTATTCTGGAGTCATCAAGGCAGTAGAGTTTATTAACTGTTCACCCATATGATGCTCCCTGCCACTCTCTCTGGAGTAGGTCCTGACTGCCTGGGAAGCGTTCATTTTGTTCAAGGGAGTTACAAAACATGGATATATGAGGCGGTGTTATAGATAGATTTTCTCAGCCCTGTCCCATTTTATCATCCTGTTGATAACAATACGATGTCCTGCTACAGCTCAGATTCTAAGGGTAGGAGGACAAGCACACCCCTAGGAAGTTGCTTCAAAATCTTTAGTTCTGCGGTTTGAATCCCCTTTCCCCCATTGATTCTGTGCCTCCGACAATACGTCTTTTAGGGTCACTGTCCTGAACCCATTGAGAGAGAGGAGATTGTTGCTTTAAATTCTACTTATAAAGAGATATACTTTTTGCTACCTAATTAATTGGGGGAAAACATAGAAGAAATATATTATCTCCTTTAATATTACAAAGAAGAGATTACAAAGAAGTGGCTTGCTTAACTTTAAGGAATGGTGTTTATTGCAAGGACACAGCAACAGTTGTGCTCTGGCCTTGACTGTTCTGGGGTCTGTTCTGTTATTGCACCCCCCCACCCCCACCCCAGACCCACCGCGGTGCCTCTGCTTCACTCAGTGCTTCTCACTTCCAACTTCTCCAGGCTTGGTGGAACATTCTTACTGCTGAGCCTTTGACTTAGGCCTGGGTTTCTTGTCCAAACTGCATCACTGGTTTGGCTCTAGGTCCAAGATTTTACAACCCACAAGGAATAAACCGAGGCTCTAGGGCCGTACGCAGTAGGGCCACACTGCCACTGGCAGGCAATTTTGAGGCTTCAGTCTCTCCAGGAGAAATTCACAAATTTTTTTTTTTTCAAGGTGAAATCTGCCATCATGGTCGGGAATCATGTGATGGGTTTGGAAGTAGTGAGAGACAAGAGTATGTGGGATATGTGTGTTTGAAGAATGTGTGATAAGAATCACCAGTTGGGTTTGTTTGTTTGAAACTACAGGAACATTTCAATTCCAATATCCCATATGACATACTTTGGGGTATGAACCTTCCTCAGGGAGCATCACACAGGGATGTGACATACTACCTGCGTTAGGGCAGAGAAAGAGTTGAGAAGCACTGATCCAGGAAGTGGCATTCAACTTGAAGAGAATGGGAGATGTTTCTAAATTATATTCGTATACTCACTGTCAACAACATATTTTCATCTATGAGTAACTTTAACAGATGTCTCCTCATGGTGCTTAGTAACTACAGAATAATTCTTATCTTAAGAGTTTGGCAGTTTGGGAATGGAGAAAAAATTAAATGGACAGAGCAAGTGATTGTATACAGGCTTTCCCTTTTCATGACAAATACATGTTATGTTTTCGGGAAAATATTCAGTTTTGCAAATGCCATCAGTCTTTAACAATCATAAATTCACTTGGCAAGAGAAATGGAGTAGCTCTACAGAACTGTGGTTATTGTTACATTGTTTTGTTTACTGTAAATCTGGCTCAATATTGGTAAATACAGTGTAGCAGAAACTGAACTGTTGTGAGCTATCTGGGCATCAGTCCAAGATATCATTAAAAATACTGCCTCAGACTAATTTGGGTTTATGAATAATATTTTGTTAACAGCTTAACTAAAATTGAGCCACATGGTGTAGCTTAAAATTCTGAATCCACAAGATAATGAGAGTAGTATAAATGTATAGTGCATACTTAATATTCTGTATTTGAGTGATAAATTTATATTTATTTCCGTGTTAACCTTTAAACTGTAAGCACCCAAGTGCTTAATATTATCTGGTATCTTTAAAGTTTACTTAATGCTGTGATTTGCTGTTCATTTGAATTTCTTTTAAACTAAAATATTATTGGTTTAACAATCTAAACTAAAGAATAAGGAGAGAGTGCCTGAACAAATATATTAAAATGGACATTCAACACCCATTTTGGCATACGGATATGTAAACAGCTGGAGTTTATGTTAACATTCACCAGAAAGTTGGAAGGATATAGTGTTGTTGTAAAGGTCCAATAACTTAATTCATTTGTTTTACTAATAATTAGACCTTCAAGTAGGTTATGGGAATTATTAATGTTTGCTTTTAAGTTAGTAATTCATATTAGGTATAACAAAGGGAATTGAGGGCTTGATAAGTTAGATGATCCAAGACAAAAATCCGTATTTAGGTGTTTCTTGCCAAGAGAAGATATTATGTGTCTTATTCTTTTGTGTCCTATTTTAATTAAAGTTTTTTCTGAACATATGTGTATAAACTCCCATTGAAAAGATGTTGGAAGAGTTGATTTTCTGTCACTGTTAGTGTGAAAAATATTTCTGGTGTGTGCATTATTTAAAGAATGAATTTTAAATGTAACTCTTCTCAATAAATATTTTATTCATTTTACAGGTTAGCACTCTACGTATATGAATATCTGCTCCATGTAGGAGCTCAGAAATCGGCCCAGACTTTTTTATCAGAGGTATGTTTTGTATATTTTCCTCATTGTATTTTGATATCCTCTGTAAGTGAATGAAAAATATACTGTAACAATTATTTGAAAAAAATATCATTATGTATTATATAATGAATGCTCAGTTATCAGAGTGCATAATATACTCTTTGTAGATTTTTTGTAAGCATTTTTAGTATCCCAAAATTCCATGTCCATGCAAATAACCTCCTACTCAACTTTATAGCCATTTTTTCCCTGTAGAAATAGAACCATTAAACACCATCATATCTCTAGTTTTAGCAATATCTTAGTTTGGCATTATTCACAATTTTGGAAAATATGGTTTTTGTTTTTATTTTGTGTGGATAATAGTGGATTGACGACTGAAACTTCCATTAGAAAACATTTTGATAATCTTGCTCTCAAGTTCTTGTTTCTCTTTCTATTTTTCTCCGTCACAATATTTTAAACTTTGAGCTCTCATACAATGTTACTTTTTCCTTCTCTAATTTATATAATGATGAGGATGAGGAGGGTTTTATTGATTTATATATATGCCAGGCATATTATCTATAATTATAATAAATATTCCATTATCTATAGTTCTTATAAGAAATTTGCAAGGCATATGGTATTATTCCTGATTTACTGATAAGAACTACAGGGCTCAGGGAGTTTATATTACTAGCTTATGGTCCCATAGCTTAGTAAGTTATGGAACTAGAATTCAAACCTTAGGTCCATGTTAATTCCAAAGCCCCTGGTTTCCCCTCTATATCAGTGCTGTCCAGTATGGTAGCCGCTGGCCAGATGTGACTTTTTGAGCAGTTGAAATATGACTAATGCAATTGAGAAGTGCTGTAAGTATGAAGGTACACACTGGATTTTGAACACTTGGTGTGAACAAAAGAATATAAAGTATCAATAATTTAAAATTTTTGATCACATTGAAATGATAATATTTTGGATATATTAGACAAAATAAAATTACTAACATTATTTTTCTTTTTTCTTTTTTAATGTAATTACTAGAAAATTTTAAATTACATCTGTGGCTCTCATTTGTGGCATATGTTTATGTTTCTGTGGGACAGTGCTGATCAAAATTACATTGTCTCTAGTGATCTCACTAGTTTGCCCCTTCCAGATCAGGCATATGACGGGCAACCCCTTGACCAAAGTGCCCTGCCTGAGGTACAGCCTTCTTGAGATTCACTATCCTCCAACAAGCACACAAGTAAACAAACACATGTAGCCCCCCAATCTTTTATCTAATTAATTAATATATGTGAACTGTTAGGGCCTGTTTGCAAGTAAGAAAATTGAGAGGTATGCTCAGAACTTAAGAAGTCAGTTGTTTTACTACAGAAGGAATATATGCAGTGTAATAAAAATGTGATTTCAAAGTTTATTTAAATCAAAACAGAAGTCTAACATATCCATATCTCATTAAATAATTAATTAGAAGACTTTGGTCTATAACCTTTCTGAGTCACATTCACTGTTTGATATTATAAAGTGACTGAGATTGCAAAGAGGTTGCTTTTCATAATTATATTCTTAATCACTGTCAACTTATATTTAAAAGAAACTAAAGCTACTTATGGAGATTTTCAAGTTTTATTTTAATGCATTTGAAAACTTGATAAAAGAATTTACCGATCACTTTCCTTAAATCAAGGACCATTTTGGATTGGCTCAATTTTCTGAGTCCTCGGGGGTTCCCAAGACTATTTTTTCTTAGCAACACTAATAATCACTTCATCAAAAAGAAAAAAGTTGCTAACTTATTTAAGGAAGTTCAGGTACTAGGACTCAAATAAGTTATGTGGATTGAACAGATAACTAGATACTGTACTGATATGCTTCTGACTCAATGGACAATGGATATACAACTTTTCTAGAGCTACTTGGTAAAAATAAAATTATAACTCCAGAAGAGATTTACACATTTTTAAACAAGTATTTACCATGATTTTATTTTCTCCGGCTGCATTTGGAATACAAAACTGAGGATATCTCTGAATTATTAATCTGGTTCAGTTTCACAGGAGGAATCAGTTAAGCTGATATTAAACTGTTGTCACCAGGAAGACACAATATTACTGGACTTTGGAGATGGGTGTATGTGATTCCCAGAATAGTTACATGGAAATCGTTGAACATAAAGCAATCGTATATATTTTTGTGGGTACATACTTATGAATGTGAAGTATAGTAAAGGTCTGAAAGAATATACATTCCAGACTAGTTGTTGGGGATGTTAAAGGAATCAAAGGGGAATTTTATCCTTACTTGTAGGATTTTTTTAAACAAGAAATATATATGTATATGTATATATATTTGTATAGTTATTTAAAAATAAAAATAATAGAAGATAAAATACGAAGTTACCTTGATTTTAAAATGGAAGTCTGGAGGTAGATTTATAATAGGCCATTGCTGAGTATACCCTAGAGTTCTAGATACAGTCGTCCCTCCGTATCCACCGGGTATTGATTCTAGGACCTCCCCACCCCTACCCCACTGCTGTGGATGCCAGAATCCACAGAGATCAGGTCCCTTATGTAAAATAGCACAGTGTTTGCACATTGCCTACACTTATCTTCCCATGTATTTTAAATCATCTCTAGGTTACTTCTAATACTTAACGGTGCAAATGCTGTGTAATAGATGTAAGTACAATGTAAATGATATGTAAACAGTTGCCCATAGGAAGCAATTTTCAAGTTTGGCTTTTTGCAACTTTCTGGAATTTTTTTTCCAAGTATTTTCTCTCCGTGGTTGGTTGAATCTGTGGATGTGGAACCTACAGATAGAGAGGGCTGACTGTAATTTCAATTGGTTAAATTTCAATAGCTTGCTATATTGTCCTCCCTCATATTTTAAGTTTCCATAATACCAGCTGCTTGTGTTTGCCTATACATACCAGAAGCCTTCTCTCATCTGGGCATTACTAGGTGCTGTTCACTGCCTAAAATCTCCCCTTCTCTCCTTGACTGGCTTAGAAGTAGCTTTTTATAGGAAAGCTTTCTCAGGGCTCCACCTCTCCGTGCTGATAGTGCATTCTTACCTGAAAGCCTTTGCATATTCTGCCAAGAAGCTTGGACTTATCTTCTCGGCAAAAGAGAACTTTTATTCTTTTAAGTAAAAGAATAGCATCGTTAGATTTGTACTGCAGTGTCTATGTGAATGGCAGTACCCATCCTCTTTAACTATGGACAACAAAGAAAGGAGAATGTAATCTTTTAGAGCTTTGTACCCTATTTAGCATTGCTTTCTCTCTTCCTTTCACTTGGATCATCTGGAAAATTTAAGGCTGCTCATTGTAGAATGACTTCTTAAGTCATTTGAGTAGTGAAGGACCATCTTATCTAAATTCTTACTCTATACCCAGATTTTTACCTGACTCAGAACTGTTATACAAGGAACTTAAAAATCAGGGGGACCTATTTATTTGGTTTGGGTATTTGTGATTAAAAAGGAAAAGACTGAAGTGGCACCAATTACGCAAGTATTCGATGTTCTCACCCTGGTTCAAGGCAAAGTAGAATGCTTCTTCCAATTTCGGCATTCTCCCTCAGGATGAATGAGGATATGAATGACTATGATGTTAATGAGCCCTTGTGAGCCAGGATTTACTGTGCTGGGCCACCTCTTTCATTTATACGGGTTTGCTTTCTGGATGAAGTTGTGAGAAGGTCAAGTTGGAACTCCAGGCATCATCTGAACAAGTAAGATGTGTATCTCAGGAGCCTAATCTCTCAGTTGGGCTTAGCCTTTCTTATAGGGCCCTTGGCCAAGCCTGTCAGAAATTGGACTGCTTCTGATAGCTTTTGTTATCAGTCTGAATAGTAGGGCACTATTAGCCCAGCTATTTTTTTTCTTAGTTAAGAGAGATAACACTGGGATAACAGTAGAAATTAAAACATTTCTCTAGCCAGGCTGTGTTAAAGCTCATTGTTATCTCTGATTCATCATAGATCCTAAACCACTACCTGAATCCTAAATGTAGTTTGTATGACTTTTCATTTTCTTACCACCAAGAGGACAAAATGGAATATTCTTTAGAAATATTCTCAATACAGAGCCCCTCCTCTGCTTTATATTTTATTATCCTTCAGTATTCAATAATTATAAACAGAATGCTAAGAAATCTTCTTTACAATGCTATATCAATTTTTGTTATTTTGGGTTCTTTAAAAATGATTCTTTTCCTGCGTTATATTATTTCATTATGCAAAGATAATTCCTGCTTGTTCCTGAAATTTTGTATGGTATTCATGCCTCAGAATGAAGCTTGGTGTCTGTAGCAAATAAAATTAAGAATTAGAGTGTTGTTGCAGAGATCTAGGTTTTTTTTCTCTTCTTAAAAATTTTACATTGTTTATACTGTATTACTAGCTCTTATTTGCCATAAATTAGCCAATAAGTTAGCCAGAAATAGAAGCTTAAAAATATCTAATGGATTGTTTCTTCAGATTTTATTAAGAATGCTAAATTATTGAACTCCATAGACTCCAAAATTCTGTTCTGTTTATTTTTTCACCTATATGAAAAGAGAAAATAATCATAATAATTTCCTTACCTTACCTGTTTCTTGAACTTTAATTTGGAGGCAACATAGTGTAGTGGGTAAGAGCAATCACTTTAGGGCCACACTGCTGGATTTGAATTGTGTTCTACATTATATTTACTTATTCAGTTTTCTTAATTATAAAAAGAAGATAATCATAATAATACTATAAAGTGGTGCTGTGGTTGAAATGAGTTAGTACATGTAAAGTGATTTGAAGGGCCTGGCATGTGGTAAGTGCTGAAAGGTGTTATTTTAATACTTGACTGATTCTTTTCTTTTCTTTTTTTTTCTTTTGGCTATGGGATCTTAGTTCCCTGACCAGGGATTGGACCTGGGCCCTGGCAGTGAAAGCCCTGAGTCCTAACCACTGGACTACCAAGGAATTCCCCTCTTTTCTATCTTGTGTAGTTTACTTCTTTAGAGTACAAGTATAAATACATACGTGCAC